AAAAACGAAAAACGAGAAGGCTATTTCATCGAATACATATGTCCTGGTTGAACAACTGTCTCCTAACCATAAACCTACAATCTGACCGTATACTTTTCTCCTAATCGGGCAATTGTCTCCTGATCGTACTTTTATCCGGAACGTATACAATAACATGACACCTGGGCATCTGACAACTATCTTCTAGCCGTATACATGCCTTCTGCTCGTATACCAAGCATGTATACATGTCCCATGATGGTACACCTTGCTAGTTGTTTTTTATTTGTATTGTGTGCGTGCCTGTTGTTTTTGATTTTTTTATTCCCGATTAGCAAAGTTGGTTTGGTATCTCATGCAATGTATTTGTACGGTTTTAAGATACATACCCGATATGCTGATTATGTGAATTATTAATATATAATAACGTATACATACGACATTTGCTTGTTTCAAATTCATCATCATTTACTCTCGAGACCGACCCTGAGAAGCCAGATATAGAGACAATCTGTTGAAATAAAATTGATAAAGCTTTGGATGGCTTTGACTTGGTTGGAGAAACTGTCGTCTCTGCTTTTTGTGATATTTTGAAATAATACTACAATTAGTTTTTATATTGACGTGTTCTATAAGAGAATACTCGCTATGGATTTGAATAAAGGATTCGATTGATTCATTGATGTTTGTCTAACGCCCATAGGAAAATATTCCATGCATATTCAGAAAGGAAATGAATTAACAATAAATCCAATATCTAATGTTTTGCGAAGCATGTCGATATGTATGAAAGGCTGGCATTTTTGCTGTTACTGGAAAATAAGAGTATATTGGATAGGGCCAGAAATTTTGTTTTGCAACAGGCCACCTACTGACCTTCCCGAAGAGTTTTCCAGTTTTTGACTATTTAACGTGCAGGTAGTTTGGCATTCTTCCTACGCGAGGCATCGGATTTGTCGTCCCCTTTCCGACTGAACGTGGCTGCGTATTTATAAATCCCAACATTCATACAGGCGCCCTCTTGCATGGATTTATCTGCCGGCGAATTGAAGAGTCCGGAGATGACCATATTTATATACCCTAGTAAACGCTTTGGGATGTAGATAGATAAGAATAAACGTCAATTAGCTATTGAGTCTAGAAAAAAAGGTGAACAAATTTAACAGGAACCAATGTGGATCTGCCATCAACACTAATTCCCGGAATTGGTTTACATGTCCAGTACAAAGCTTTAACACTATATTGAGTAGTCACATGCGGTTTATAACTCTCACGTAAGGCAAAATGTTTAATGATCTCACACATCGTTATATTCATAAAATTGTATGTGTTATATTGTGACAGTTGACACATAATTCACTAAAATAAGTAATAATGTTTGTATAAACTGTCGTGCCAAAATAAATGTAAATATACCTTTTAATTTGGGAAAAATAAAATTGTTCATTTAAATTAAAAGGCGGGTTTCTACATACCGTCCCAGACGGTAGATGTTTCATTGTAGTCAATATGGGGCTTGAAATAATACTATGACATACAGGAAAGCAAATAAATTTATTTTGGTAGGAGACGCTAAAACGTGGAATGATTCCATTAAATTATTAACACAATACCGTTGACAGTAATTAGGGGTAGTGAATCTTTAATTTTTTTCTTAAAACGGTGGCGGGTAAAGCAGTGTTTAATTATGCTTTTTAAAGTGTACTTTAATTATTATTTACACAGCAGATTATTTTTTTGAAATACAACAATGTCGCCCATTGTGACAATAATTATATGTAATGGTTATTTATGCTATTGAAATTTTAAATGTTTTCACTGACTTAATTATTTTTAAAACAATTTAGGATCACTGAAAACAATACGTTTTTGTTGTTTTATCTATTTTTTTCTGATTTATGTTGCTACTCATTCATATTTTTTCTTTCTTCAGAAAGTTAGTCTGAAACACTCAAATCAAAAATACTCAATTTTATATTTATCAATGAAAAGGATGATAGCTTTTTATAACATTACAATTCAAAAGTAATTCAATGTCCAGTAGTTTTTGGCAGCTTTTAGATTTTGACCCTCTGAGTGAAACAGTTATAGGGGAAATTGGCCTTAACTCAAATTTATTCTCCAGCTATAAAAAAAAGAGTCGTTTAATACCGGGTGGAAGTTCGGAATATATTGTTCACCATTAAAATCATGTGTTACAGTAATGTTTCATTTTTCCTATTTTGTATTTAGAGATTTGTGGTTCAAGAAACAACTTTCTGATAAATTATGCCAAAATTTCATTTACAAGATCGTTTAAATTCCAAGGAATTAACTGTTACTGCTTTGAATATGTAATGATTAATAAAGGTATTAGTTTTATTTCATATGGGATCCGATTCGTTTGGTTTATTAATTTAGTGCAGTGCTTAAGCGATGTGTGGCAATAAACCTAACTGGTTTCGTATACTGAAGTAAGCAATATTTTGGATTGCCAAGAAAATCTGCAAATTTACTACCGGATATAACTAAAATATCTTGAAAAATTAAAAAATAAATCGTAATTTTCTCTGTAAATTGGAAAAGATTGATTTATTTGTGAGTCGTCGCGTAGAAAAATCAAATAAATCATATAAAGGCGCCTATATATGATATATAGATTGACAAGTTTAGACCATTTAGCCATATTAACGCTGTTTGAATGAAAATTTTTCAGGGACGAACAAAACCACATTGACTCAGTTTTATAAATGTGTCGGTAATTGAAAATCTCTTTAGAGTTTCAGAAATGTGAAATATGCAGATTGATATAGTTGTAAGAAAACATAACCATTCAAGTTCAAAATGTCAATTTCTTGTTAGTGTTTAATTAGATTGTAATCGCACGGGTGAAAATAATCAACAGAGTTCACTGAAACTTTGTAAGCTTTTAATCTTTCAAGTATCTTTTGTTACGGAACTTTAAATCGTGCAAACTGGGTACTCAAAGACACCATCAAAACGTACTTATTAGTTCAATTGTTTGCTACGGTGTACTTCTCAACACTTTTAACTCCATGATATAGCCACCATAAACGCCCTTAATGAACATATTAACATTTCTACCCATCATGCAACACAGAATGATTGAAACGTTTATAGCGAGTTATTCAATTTTGTACAGTTTTAGCGTAGATAAATAGTTGGAATTGTTAATACATGCGATCATCTGATTTGGAGATGACTTGGCCTTTGTAAAAGTAAAATGTCTGTCGTGGAACCAATCTAAATTACCATTTGTCAGTATTGCGATGGCTTGCCCCAAAAGGGTATATTGTGTTGTATGAAGAAATGTTATTAATATAAAAATAAGGAGATGAGGTATTATTGTCATTGAGACAATTATCCAAAGTACAAATGAAGTGGATGTAAGCAACATTAACCGGCGTCTATATCTTAGGGAGCTACCGTTTGATTTTTATGGGGGGGGGGGGGGGGGGACTAGGATGAAAAATTTCGTCCTGCATGTTGTTTTAGTTGTAATCTCTGTCCTGCCTTTTTAGTTTTCACTCTATTCGGTCCTGCCTTTTTTTTTATTATTTTTTTACATTAAATTGTCATCCTGCCTTTTTTCCCCAAGTTGCTCATCCTGCCTTTTTTTTACTCAAAACTCCGGTCATGCCTTTTTTTTAAATTTCATCCTAGCCCCTCCATAAAAATCAAATGGTAGCTCCCTTATGACTGTTTTGTCAACAGTTTTAGGACTTTCGATACCTTTTTATTATGAAATGTTATCCTGAGTCTTTCTTAATGACCGCTTTATCTACATTGCTATTGCTTTCTATACCCTTCCCCCCTTTATCCCTTATCATAAAATCTTGACCGAGGTCAAAATGACTGGTTTGTCTACATTGTTATAACTTTCGCTACTCCTTTATCTTGAATTTTTGGCTGATGTCACTCTAAACGACTGTTTTTCTATGTTACTCTAGCTCTTTAAATCCCTTTTATGATTAAATATGGACCGAGGTCCTTATCAATGGCTGTCTTGTCTACATTGCTATGGCTTGCTATACCCTTTCGCGATAAAATAACGATCGAGGTACCTCTTAATGGATGTTTTATGTCACCGCCGTAGCGATGGGGGCATTAAGTTTTACCCTTGTCCGTCTGTACGTCCGTCCGTACATCCCGAAATTGGTTTCCGTTCTCTAACTTTAGTTTGCCTCAACCAAATGTTATGAAACTTATACTCAATGCTTATTACCACAAAACACAGATCAAGTTTGAATTTGGGTGGCGTCACTTTTACTTTTCTAGAGTTATGCCCCTTTATAAATGGAAAAATTGCCGAAGTTTTTCGTTTCCGTTCTCTAACTTTAGTTTGCCTCAACCATATGTTATGAATCTTATACACAATGCTTATTACCACAGAACACAGATCAAGTTTGAATTTTGGTAGCGTCACTTTTACAGTTATAGAGTAACTGAGTTATGCCCTTTACAAATTGAAAAATTTCTGAATTTTTCGTTTCCGTTCTCTACCTTAAGTTTGCCTAAACCAAATATTATGAAACTTATACATGTAATGCTTATTACTACAGACCTCAGATCAAATATGAATTTGGGTAGCGTCATTTTTACCTTTCTTGAGTTATTCGGTCCTGCCTTTTTTTCTTAGTTTATCCTGACTTTTTTACATTAAATTGTCATCCTGCCTTTTTTTCCCCAAGTTGCTCATCCTGCCTTTTTTTACTCAAAACTCCTGTCATGCCTTTTTTGTTTGTCTTTGTCTACATTGATCGTTCTTTTGAACGTATATGACAAATTGTAAGTGGCCTAGACTTGTCTCAAATTCTTCAATTTCTTCTTCCAAAGGTTCTGACTTAACGACATTGTTTCAACCATTTATGAATAAACAAAGTTAGAACTATATGTATAATTGTTAACAATAGGCGGAATTCACTTATCGTGATAGTAGTTTTTAAATATTGCGGAAGTGGCTTGCAAGATAGTATTTCTGTAGTTGATCTGTTCGTTCTGTAAATATGATTCCTTCACAGGAACTGGATACTGTGCGGCGGAAGACTGTAGATGCTCAGGATAGCTGGTTTACCTTCGTTAGACATTCCAAAAGACCACAGAATAACAAACAGCCAAGGAAACGCAAAGAAAAGAAAAGCAAAAGACTGGCATGTGCACACGTAAATATAATACCTTTACTTTGCTTGTTTAGAAGCAAATAGAACGAACTTCTCACATGTTATGAATTGAAAAAAACAAAACAACACAAAGAAAATAAAAATACCAGTATGTTTTAAAAACACTAACACACAGAATGTTAAAATATATTGTAAAAACACAAACACACACAGAAAATGAACTTAAACAAATAAAGACTAATATTTTAGACCCACACAGAGTGATACATGGCAATCTCTAACAAGAAATGCATTTTGATTTTTTGATTTCAGGGGTGTGTTCCAGGACCTGCCGGACCAAGAGGTCCACCAGGGCCACCCGGGCCTGCAGGCGCTGTAATTACTAAAGAGATTTTGATGCAAGAATTTAAAGAATTAGTGAAAGGTAATACATGATAATGAATAAGAGAAAGGATAGTTTTAAGTATCGTAAAGTGTTATTTTCATTAAAAAAGGAGAAAATATGAAAACATATTAAAAGATAAAATAATAAACTCAATTTACGAACAATTCAAGGTTATAATATCTTGTTTGTGTCCATATGGAATGCAGTCGAATGTGGTATTTAAAATTGAAAATTCAAATCGAGTTTTCACTACCCATTTTTGCAGACAACAAGTCATTATTTAAATCTGAAAACATTACATGCCAAATGTGTTTATAAAAGTTCTCAACTTTTACATTCGAATCCAAAATTTACTGTCAGACAATATCACAATCTATTTCATTTGTTGTATACGCTGCGTGAAAAAAAGTACCAAAAACCATGGTTCTTTTTCTACGGTTTATTTTGAAACACTTAAATTTAAATTGACCTATAGGTTTTAAAAAGATCTTTTATCTGTTCAACACCCGCCTTCCTATCTGATAATGTAACCACAAGAATAGTTAAAGTACTCAAAAGCTATCAGGTAGGTCAGGTAAAGTATTTATTTTTATCTAAGCATCGCTATACGTGATTTCGTTATTTCGGTATGGGTATACGTGGTTTCCGGAAATGACACTGTTTTTCAATCTTAATTGTAACACTCAATATTTTGACATCTCTAGTATGTTAATGACTAGGACGTTATTTGAAACCTAAGATATCAATAGTAAATGTAATGTACATGTCATGCGCAATAGGATATATGTGTCACAAGATGACCGTGCATATTTGCCAGTAGGTGTATCCGCTTAAATATACGTCCTCTTTTCTGTGTAGTATCAAAAATGTGAACTGTTGTTTGCCTTTTTCTCTTTTGGCCAATGATTTGTCTGTTCTTTGACCTGTGTGTTTTTATGGACGGTTAATTTTTATTGGACAGTACTGACATCATTTGAGTTTTCTTGTTCCTTAGTAAATGCAAAATATTATAAGAAAAATATTCTCATCTCACAATTCCAGACAAATATGACAAATTTTGGTATCGTTTGAAAACTTAAACAAAAACAATTGACCGTTTTGCAGCACCTGTGTCATTTGCTGTTTCATTATCAGAGTTAATACCATCTTTTAAAATGAGCGTGCATTTTTTCATTATTTCTGTATAGACTTAATTACCAAATACACAAGAATATAGACATTTTAGTATTGGATGAAATAAAAGATAGATTTGCGACATGTAAATTCGCCTATCCTTAAATTAGGAAACTATCAGTATCTTGAATTGGAGTCCTTAAAAAGAATTTGACATCTATAGAATATCTTTGCTAAGAACTGTCAACACTTTACCGATACTTGCGGCTATCTAAAGCGTGGCATATGATATAGACATGGTGAAAACCGTTGTTGACCTCTTTAAGTTCTTTCTTTTTGCATTATTACATTGATGGGTGTCATAGATGTATAAACCCATTATTAGGTATTACATCTATGTTATAATTGACGCAAACCTCACACCTCCTTTTTCATTTTGATATACCACGCAGTAATGTCATATTAAAAATGATAGTTTTTTTACAATGTTATGTATAAATGACTAAAACCGATAAAACTGTCATAAAGCCATTCATGAAATTATTAAGTTCGATATTATTCATAATGACCACGAAGAATTCGAACCTTTCATAAATCATTTTTACACATGTAGTAAATGGTTTATCCATCTCGTCTTATATCATCATAGCAGATGTAAATATTTCATTAGTCTTTCAAAGGGATTTCTCGGTGTCAATTATTTACTAACAAGATCGGATACATTTTCAATTTTTATTTGTTTTGCATGCTAACATTGCTTCCCTGTCAGTTTTGATGATAACATGTCTAACAATATTGTCTAATATTTCCGTTAAAGTCTCTCAAAATAGATATTTTTATACAAAAACTTCTTTCTCTATACGCACCTTCATCATTTGATAGATAGTGGAGTTGAATATTTCTAATTGATTTGTCCGAAGAAATGGATGGTGTGGATGACTTTAAAAGTATGATTAATATCCACAGAAACAACACACAGAGGCCAAAAATACAAAAATTCTAAGATATCTTTACGTTCTTTTAATGATTTATTACCGATTTGATAATATAGTGTTCACGCGACTTGTGCCGATATTGATAAGTCAATCTTTCTATATTTTATTTAAATTTAATTTTAACACACATTCCACTTCTGACAACTTAATAAAAAATGCGTCAACGGTAAACCATTCTTTTAACTTTTAGTATGCAATTACCTGACTCGACTCAATTGACAGGTAATTCCAGTACAGTTTTAAGTAACACAAATACAATTATATCTTATTCTTGCTTTCGTAGAAATGAATTTAAAACAGGAACTTTGTGTCTCCGAAGTACAAATGTCATTTCGACTATGATAATAAACACTATAAATGATTGAAAAATGAAACAAAAGAAAAGTAGCAAGCAATTAAGAAAGAAAGAAAGGTCGAAAGAAGGACACACAGCGATTTCTCCAAAAGTGATAGGTTGCAATAATGTTTCACCTAGGTTCCATTGGTTAACACTTTTTCATACATTGCCTTCCAGCAATTTAACTACAAATTTTGAAATTGAGAATTCATCGTCTTCGAATTCTTTCTGTGTTTAAATTGCTCAGTATTTATTATTCTGGGTAATGTTTTATGGTCTATTGTCATTTTTATATTTATGTCATGGCGTTTGTCTGTCCTTTGATTAAAACTTTTTGAATGGTCCATTGTTTCATCCTTTTTCACACCTGCACCCGCAAAATATTTAAATATGCTTAGAGAATCTCGGTATTTAGTAACATTGTGCACACTTTTAATTTTTTTCTGGGGTGAGCGTTTTGTTATATTAGTTTGAGGTATATACTAACAGGATAAGACACCAGATTTCCAAAGTATTTAGCACACTTTCTAAAACACATGCTTTGAGGTTGAACCAATAATGAAGATGATAACTGTGTTAGTTATTAGAGACAACAGAAAAATGATGAGCGGTGGTGATACACGGGTCGTTTCACTTTGCTAGTACTGTATCTCTACCGCGCGTTGATGTTTTTACATATGTCTTCTGGTAATAACAGAACAGATAAGAGATACTTTAATGAAGTAAACGAGCTAAACGTACTTGTATAAATCTCCTTTGATTACATTTAATACAGCAGGAATTTTATTATGCCTAAACTATTTACACATTCTCTATTGCGTTTGGGAGATGAAAGTATATGAAATTTATAAGTACTATATAATGAAGGAGATATTCCAATGAATGCAACGCTTTTTCTTTTGTATAAAAGTTGGCTATTTTAGTGAAATATCGTTTCAAATTTTGTCATAATTATAGAAAAGGTAAAATACGTAGAAAGTTAAAGTTATTTGAGTTATATGACCAAAATGGATCTAAAATGAATATCCCAGTGCAGCTGAGGTCAACTTTGCCTGAGGTTTTTGAACCTCATTTTTTTTTATTTCTTAAATTTATCAACGGGGAATTTAAGAAAAATATGTTATAAATCATGTTAGGAAGGAAACACTGACAACTAAGCTGATCATCTTAATTCTACTGCACGTGTTGTCTCCCTTACATTTATTACTTTTGCAACAGTATGTATGAAGGATAATACTGTCTTCAACAATAGACAACCATTTGTGTCGAAACTGCATGTCTAGCTCTACATCGCACCGTGTCTAGAAATTTTTTTGAATATAGCAAATATCAAAATGAAATTCCCTAAAGGACAAAAACATTAAAATAAAAGTAAGATTGTCAGTGTGGTCTTTCGAGTACTCAACCCTCTACTTTTTTCTTCTTTTCTTTTTCTTTTTTTTTTTTTATCTCGAACGCTTAAATAACATCAGTTAATCAGAATAAAATTCAGTACAGACAGCTCTGACATATAGAAAACAATACTGAATTATACCGTACTGACAGTAACTAGAATCAATATGACAGTACTTCACAGTAGAGTTCATACGGCAATGTAATAAACAGTGTAGGAAGACTAGATCTTGTGTGAAATGCCCAAAACTAATCTGAACAATAACGTCTTGTTAGTAAACGGGGATAATGACAAACTATCAGTATAACTGGGTCTATAGGTCTTTTATTGTTTTGCAGAGGCAGCAGAACGTAGAGCGCTTGAATTACTTGCAGAAAAGGTAAGAGACATTGTCCTGGTTGGGGTACTCAATGTTTCCTCTTAAGTATGTAGATTTTAAAAAATGTCCTGTTGTTACTGAAAAGGATTTATATATATATGCAGTTCACCATGAATTCGTGTGAATTATAAAGTTTTATGACTTTTACAAATACAGACGAGACAATCGAGAAACACAAACACTCAATAGAAATAAGAACGCATCAAGTATTATTATTGTTCTTCATCATTAAAGCCTTAAATGATGTGGCACATTTATATCCTGAAAACGTGTACAAATGGGAATAAAACCAAAATTACAGTACATTCATGACGACATTAACTAGTGGTTGATTACTAATTAAAAAACGTGAAATGTACCAAGTGGGTGATAAGAAACCACCAGTCGTAGAAGGACAACAACATCATGTTCAAACGAAAAAAACCCAGGTTAAAAAATATTGAACAAACCATACACACAAAAATAATTCGAAACAATGAACAACAGGAGCTAACTAAAACCAGGATAAAATCACGTGCTCTGCAAATGTAAGCAGGTCCTGTTCCACTTCAAACGAGGCTCATTATAAGTAAATATTCCATAATAAGTCGCATTCCATGACGTCATAAATGAGGTAAAGATGGTTGTCTGATAAGTACAACACATATCAAGAAATTCTGAAATATCAACTGGGAGACATATTCATTTTTACTCTGAGTCCATATGCAGGTGCCGCTTGGATGTTGCTTCAAAAGGAGGGAAAACTCACGGTCGGAAATTGAAATCATCTCACTTGTAGTTAAGTTTAGTTTTCAATATGCCTTCACTTGCATTTTATTAGTGTAAGTCAAGATATGAGGCTACAATGTGTGGTATGTATATAGTGGAACTTGAAATTGAACGAATAATGCTATTTCTTTGCATTTTACTTTAGAAGGACCTATATAAAGCCTGCCTCATACGAATAAAGTCGAAAAGAAGAGGTGTTGAAAAAATTCAAAAGCATAAAGAAAGCTATAAAAGATATATTAAGATTTTAATGTTAAATTTATAACCAAATAACTGAACTGTATAATTGTATTTGCATCTTTTTTCAGTGCCCAAGTTGCACTGACAATCTAAATATTACAAGTAGCATACCAGTTTCCACAAAGAACAATGTGTTCGATTCTGTAGCTAGAATAACAATAGGCTTCAATATGCGATTGCGGAGAAATGTTGCCATTTCAGGAAGAACATTTATGGAACTCGGGGCATTCCATCAGGTATAAATTAGATATATTATATAAAAAAAATAGTATTAAATGAAAGCAACTACCGATTTAATTCAATTTGAAATACTGCTTTAAAATAATCTCATTGATTTTCCTTGCAAAGTGTCAATGAATATAGGACAAACAAAAAAACCAACATAATGTTGTGTTATTTTATTTCATTTAGAATATAGGATTGTGTCAAAGAGGCAACAACGCTACAAAAGAGTAGAAAACAGCCCAAGGCCAGCGATTGGGTTTCAACGCAGCCCGAAAATCCCGCACCCGCAGGCGGGCTTCAGCTGACCCCTAAACAATAATGTATACTAGTTCACTGATATATTCTCCACACTAAACTCCAAAACATACAAATGAACTAAATTGAAAAAGAAACACACACGCTTTTAACATAGACTAAAGGTTCCTGACTTGGGACAGGCGCAAACATGCGTCAGGGTTAATTGTTTGTTTTTGTATTGTGTTCCACCAAAAGATCTGTATGAAACTTGCAAGGAAAGAAAACACTGAAGATAAAAAAAAAATGAACGAACACATACAACATCATTTAAGAAACTTAAGCAGCGCAATTTCATTTTATTTTTAACATTTCTTTTTCAGCCTTTTGCTGCAGGATCATTCAATAGAGGTGAAAACTTTAATATAAAAAATGGACGCTTTGGTGCACCTAAAAGCGGAATATATCAGTTTTCAGTAAATCTTCACATGAGAATAAAACGTAATGGCCGAAGATTAAAACTCAGGAAACAAGATAATATTAGAGCACAGATTTGCATTGATTCATTGTGTCAAAAATATGCGTGAGTACAACATATCAGTGCACATATTAGTTTAGTTAATAATTCCAAGGATTGAACTAGTAAATCTCCCGTAAGGAGTAAAAAAAATGTATATGAATGCAAAGCACATTGTAAATGATATTGAATTAATACAGTACAAGTATGGGGTTTTCTCATTGTTGAAGATCGTACGGTTACTTATAATTGTTTATATCATCGTCATTTGAACTCTGGGTCGATAGTTGTCACATTGGCAATCATACCACATCTCCTTATTTTCATGTAGATAGTATTATTAAATTAAAAGTTGGGGCCACTCAAATTGGGGCTATATTGCACCCTGTGTCCGTTTGTTCGTATAACAAATACTTTCGTCACATTTTCTTAAGTATTACTGAACAGAGTGGCCTCATATCTGGTCAGCTGCTTGACAAACATGAGTTGTAAATTGTAGGGACATTACTGATCTTTCGGACACCTCAGTACTTCCAGTTTTTCGATATTCTGAGTGACTGGCCAGATATGTTTGGCACGGCAACGCGTTTATTGTAGTTGTTTTCAGATTTCATTTCCAAGAGTTTTTAATTTTAAAAGCATAATTATTTATCATACAATGTATGTTTACTATTCGGATTTGTGTTGGGGTCGTCCGATTTTGTGCTATCAGATTACCAAAAAATGGCCATTAAAATTTAATATCATCAACAACAACAACAACAACAATAACAAAGCCTGCATCTAAAAGTAGAAGTGGAGAAGTTAGAGCATTCCCATATAAAAAGATCACTACATCATACAGTTAGCTGTACACAAATATTGTGGAGGTAACCGACACAGGTTACTGAATTGAGATAAGCAAATTAACTTTTTATACCAATACGTCAAATTGTGAAATTATTGTGCATGAACATGAATGATATAAAATATTTCATGATTTCAGATCAATGCAGCATATATCAGGGTTAGAAAGCAATAGCAAATTTTTCACAGTCAGTTTTATGGGTTTCTTGGAGCTAACGGTAATTATGTTTAAAAACAGAGATTTCATGATTAATTCATTGCTTGTACTTCTGAAGGCTTGGAAAATGCAGAAAGCATATCTGAAGAATTTTCAATATGATGAATAATCATAATTATTTATGCTTACATGACAAGTTTGGAAAGATATCATAGCAATGTTATGACCAGACCAGTTGATAAGCAAATTGTTTAAAGTTGCTATGGCTATAAAGTCTTGTCGAAGAACGAATAATAGAATTGATAGGAAAATTTCTTTAACTTAGCTTAGTGATATTAATAATTCGGAACAATTAATGGGATTTTTATCTATTCGATATTCTTTCTTAATTATACTAGGGTACCAAAACCCACACTTAAAATTGTGTATAATTCTTGTTTACTTTCTTTTAATTTGACTCAACAAATAGGAAGATGTGTTTGTTTTCTATTTCTATTTATGTAAATTTACATTTATTTTGAATTATTATTTGCAATCTGAAGATTCATGAAATATTTGCCACTGGTGTTTAGCAAACAACAATCATTCAATTGATAATTATACATGATAGAAAAAAAACAAAAATAACACTTTGTAAATTTAATGCGTCTGAAGCGATTTTCTGGATTAACCTTCATCAGGAATGCTCGAAGCCGAATCTATGAAAGCCAAGGATGTATAAAAACCGAAACATTTTAAGAGCTTTATGACCAAAAGGGACATAAGAAATAGACAAATCAATCTAAGGCCAAGAATGAGACATTTAAAGTATATTTCGCATATTTTGTTTCCTCAATATTGATTGTAGAACCTCTCTGTTGTAGGCTGGACAATATGCTTCAGTGTATGTAGACAATGCCTCTAGAGTAAATATTATTGTTCAAACGACATCAGATTTTAGTGGAATATTGGTAGGATTATGAAAAATATACAGGAGTGTACGAGAAGCATATACTCTGTGTGTTTGAAATAAATAAATCTGAATGTTAAATGACGAAAGAGATCTCTCTGAGTCAGTAAATCTGAATGTTAAATGACGAAAGAGATCTCTCTGAGTCAGTAAATCTGAATGTTAAATGACGAAAGAGATCTCTCTGAGTCAGTAAATCGAACATTTTCGGCAAAAGTTTTTAGGAATAGAAATCCTGTTTTTATTTTCATTTTACTGTTTTATGTTCTGTATGAAATTAACATGTGTAAAATGAAAATTTTAAAAAAGCACAAAGGAACGGTATGATAAGCATACATAATTCAGTCGATTAACACCCTTCATAAAGTTACAATACATTTGTCTATCTGATATATTGTTTATAATATATCATTTGACACATTTGCTTTTGTCGTCCATCTCTGTTCGTTTCGTCCAAACTACAAAACTTTTCCTCGATCTGACATGTTGTCAATGATATCGACTGATGGGCATGTATGTAAATTATAAGTTTGTGACATAATGGTATCTTCATAGCTATGTAGTCTTACTTATTATATTTGTATGAAAACAACTTGAACTATTTCAACTACAAAGTATTTCATTGTATTAGTTTGTTAAATTTTCTTAACAAACTCTTGGTATAATTTTAGAGATTTGAAATTTTCAGTAATTTATGCCATTTTACTGTTTTTAACACACCTTTCTTATAAACAAACGCTGATTTGGAGAGGTTAAGCTCGTTGCATACTTGAGATTCTCAAGGATGCATACAACTGTAACCGGAGAGCATGAATTTCATTACAAAATTGCTTGTCTCCACCGGGACTCGAACCCGGGACCTCTGTGTTACAAGGCAGCGCGTATACCGACTGAGCTAAAGAAGTACTTCCTTAGCTCAACCGCTTACGGCTGACTAAGTATCTACCACATTTACCAAGGGAGGCAATCCCGTCACACTGCAGATGAAAGACTTACCTAAAAAATAATATATTATATATTGGTATTTAGTTTTAAAGTCCAATCAAATGAATTGATGTGTAACTGTTGGTGTTTTTGTTGTTCAAGTTTGCAAAGAATCATCTTTACATCATGTAATAATATTTTTATAGGAAGCTTTCATATGTAAAAAAAAAATGAAACAGACAACTAGCTGTCTCAAATTTTATGACAAAAAAAATCATGTTATTTTTTTTTTGAATAGACGAATTTTTATATAATTTATTTATTTTTGTTGTAAGTTCATTATTTTGTGTTCGGATAAACGGAGTTAACATGAAACTGGATATGTTTTATCAGTTCATCGACATTATTTTAATTATGCTCATAATACTGATCAACATGTACAAATATACCCTTCCTTGCATGCTCATATATTGTAAAGATGTTATTCACCAATTCTTACGCCTTGTTAAATTAAACAAGAAACAAAGTCACGCATATGGACGTATCTTGTTATCGAGGTTTAAGCATATTTATCAAGGTGTAAACATAGCTAAATATGTTGTTGTGAGGTATATTTTTTTCAGATTGATGTGACAAGTTTCGTCTCATCACAAAGAATTGTAATATGCAAATAGAAGCTGTATATATGATGTGATGTTATCTAAGGATATTATTTTACATTATCTATTTCAACAATTAAACAAACCACAAAGGATCCTTTCTGATAACGTTTATCGGAGTGAACAATTAATTTTTTTACACAATGATATCATTTAATGAATGCAAAAAGAATTAAGCTCCCACAATAAATCTGTTAGTTATTTTTGTTACAAAATTTAGTAAAGTTTTGATTAGCTCATGTGTTCATTGCCTTGACTCTTTAATAACTCAACTCTAATGGAAAATGACTATACCTCTGTTGTCGAATCGCAATTTATTGGCATTTCGTACCAAATTTTATTTTGCTTTTCCATGCCATGTGATTTTCAGAGTTGTGGTTCTGTACATCGACTGCCAGTATGAAAAATTGGGCTACTCTTCAGTCAAAAGTCCAAGGGTGTTATGTTTTAACGTTCGCACGACAGAGCCTTTTCACATCCATATATTATGTTTCAAAAAATCTGTAGAAAACAAATTTCTATAATGTTTATTTTATTAATATTTGAAGCAAATGTGTATCATGTTTCTGATATTCTATTAAAACAATTCTTCATTTCATGTCATTAACAATTTGTATATAAACCATTGTATGTCTGTGATACGTTTCAATAAATCAATACAGTTACAAATGTTGCATATCTATATATATATATATATATATATATATAAATATATGAACAAGTCTAAATTGAAAACAACGTTCAAACCTATGATTGCGTTGGATAAAAACCGCAATTTTTATGCGTGTGCATGCAAAACAAATTTCTTGGTAGAGGGGTCTAAATATAGCACAAACAACATTTTCAAAAAGACCAAATGAGTGAAAAAGTATATTTTAACAAAACGCATTTGACTAGCAGGTCGAACAACTGATGTTCTTAAACCCTGCTGACTGCCATTGGCGATTGCCAAATAAACGGATCACAAGATGTAACAAAACAGATCTTATTATTAAATTATTACCAAACAGAAAACAATAAACTTGCGGAAAAGATGGTATACCGCAAACATGAGGTGCAAAAATTTGTACACCATATCTGGATTTCGAATATTTATGTCTCTTCAGCGATGTTAGGAATCGAAACGGTATTTGGAAGGCCATATAATTTACCTCAATTTAGGATAGACTCTTGAATTTTGAAAGAGTCAAAATAGAAAGAACGGATCATATAAACCCGAAGGCAAATATAAAACAAGCCCAAACGAAAAAATATAAACAAGTCTAAATTGAAAACAACGTTCAAACCTATGATTGCGTTGGATAAAAACCGCAATTTTTATGCGTGTGCATGCAAAACAAATTTCTTGGTAGAGGGGTCTAAATACAACACAAACAACATTTTCAAAAAGACCAAATGAGTGAAAAAGTATATTTTAACAAAACGCATTTGACTAGCAGGTCGAACAACTGATGTTCTTAAACCCTGCTGACTGCCATTGGCGATTGCCAAATAAACGGATCACAAGATGTAACAAAACAGATTTTATTATTAAATTATTACCAAACAGAAAACAATAAACTTGCGGAAAAGATGGTATACCGCAAACATGAGGTGCAAAAATTTGTACACCATATCCGGATTTCGACAATTAATGTCTCTTCAGTGATGTTAGGAATCGAAACGGTATTTGGAAGGCCATATAATTTACCTCAATTTAGGATATATTATATGGCCTTCCAAATACCGTTTCGATCCCTAAGATCACTGAAGAGACATTAATTGTCGAAATCCGGATATGGTGTACAAATTTTTGCACCTCATGTTTACGGTATACCATCTTCTCCGCAAGTTTATTGTTTTCTGTTCGGTATTAAATTAATAATTAAGATCAATGTTACATCTCGTGATCAATTTATTTGGCAATCGTCAATGGCAGTCAGCAGGGTTTAAGAACATCAGTTGTTCGACCTGCTAGTCAAATGCGATTTGTTAAAATATACTTTTCACTTTTTTTGGTCTTTTGGAAAATGTTGTTTGTGCTGTATTTAGACCCCTCTACCAAGAAATTTGTTTTACATGCACACGTATAAAAATTGCGGTTTTTATCCAACGCAATCATAGGTTTGTACGTTGTTTTCAATTTAGACTTGTTTATATTTTTTCGTTTGGGCTTTTATTATATTTTCCTTCGGGTTTATATGATCCGTTCATCCTATTTCGACTCTTTAAAATTCAAGAGTCTATCCTAAATTGAAGTAAATTATATGGCCTTCCAAATACCGTTCCGATCCCTACCATCACTGAAGAGACATTTATTGTCGAAATCCGGATATGGTGTACAAATTTTTGCACCTCATGTTTGCGGTATACCATCTTCTCCGCTAGTTTATTGTTTTCTGTTTGGTATTAAATTAATAATTAAGATCCATGTTACATCTCGTGATCAATTTATTTGGCAATCGTCAATGGCAGTCAGCAGGGTTTAAGAACATCAGTTGTTCGACCTGTTAGTCAAATGCGATTTGTTAAAATATATTTTTCACTTTTTTGGTTTTTTGGAAAATGTTGTTTGTGCTGTATTTAGACCCCTCTACCAAGAAATTTGTTTTACATGCACACGTATAAAAATTGCGGTTTATATCCAACGCAATCATAAGTATGAACGTTGTTTTCAATTTAGACTTGTTTATATATATATATATTGATTTCAATTTAGACTTGTTTATATTTTTTCGTTTGGGCTTGTATTATATTTGCCTTCGGATTTATATGATCCGTTCATCCTATTTTGACTCTTCAAAATTCAAGTGTCAATCCCAAATTGAGGTAAATTATATGGCCTTCCAAATACCGTTTCGATTCCTAACATCACTGAAGAGACATTAATTGTCGAAATCCAGATATGGTGTACAAATTTTTGCACCTCATGCTTGCGGTATACCATCTTTTCCGCAAGTTTATTGTTTTCTGTTTGATATTAAATTAATAAATTAAGATCCATTTTTACATCTGGTGATCCGTTTATTTGGCAATCGCCATGGCAGTCAGCAGGGTTTAAGAACATCCGTTGTTCGACCTGCTAGTCAAATGCGTTTTGTTAGAATATACTTTTTCACTTTTTTTGGTCTTTTGGAAAATGTTGTTTGTGCTGTATTTAGACCCCTCTACCAAGAAATTTTTTTTATATGCACACGTATAAAAATTGCCGTTTTTACCCAACGCAATCATAGGTTTGAACGTTGTTTTCAATTTAGACTTGTTTATATTTTTTCGTTTGGGCTTGTATTATATTTGCCTTCGGGTTTATATGATCCGTTCATCCTATTTTGACTCTCCAAAATTCAAGTGTCAATCCCGAATTGAGGTAAATTATATGGCCTTCCAAATACCGTTTCGATTCCTAACATCACTGAAGAGACATTAATTGTCGAAATCCAGATATGGTGTACAAATTTTGCACCTCATGCTTGCGGTATACCATCTTTTCCGCAAGTTAATTGTTTTCTGTTTGATATTAAATTAATAAATTAAGATCCATTTTTACATCTGGTGATCCGTTTATTTGGCAATCGCCATGGCAGTCAGCAGGGTTTAAGAACATCCGTTGTTCGACCTGCTAGTCAAATGCGTTTTGTTAACATATATTTTTTTTCACTTTTTTGGTCTTTTGGAAAATGTTGTTTGTGCTGTATTTAGACCACTCTACCAAGAAATTTGTTTTACATGCACACGTATAAAAATTGCGGTTTTTATCCAACGCAATCATAGGTTTGAACGTTGTTTTCAATTTAGACTTGTTTATATTTTTCGTTTGGGATTGTATTATATTTGCCTTCGGGTTTATATGATCCGTTCATCCTATTTTGACTCTTCAAAATTTAAGTGTCAATCCCAAATTGAGGAAAATTATATGGCCTTCCAAATACCGTTTCGATTCCTAAAATCACTAAAGAGACATTAATTGTCGAAATCCAGATATGGTGTACAAATTTTTGCAAACAATAAACTTGCGGTATACCATCTTTTCCGCAAGATTATTGTTTTCTGTTTGATATTAAATTAATAAATTAAGATCCATTTTTACATCTGGTGATCCGTTTATTTGGCAATCGCCATGGCAGTCAGCAGGGTTTAAAAACATCCGTTGTTCGACCTGTTAGTCAAATGCGTTTTGTTAAAATATATTTTTTCACTTTTTTGGTCTTTTGGAAAATGTTGTTTGTGCTGTATTTAGACCCCTCTACCAAGAAATTTGTTTTGCATGCACACGTATAAAAATTGCGGTTTTTATCCAACGCAATCATAGGTTTGAACGTTGTTTTCAATTTAGACTTGTTTATACATATATATATATATATATATATATAAACAAGTCTAAATTGAAAACAACGTATATATGTGTGTGTGTGTGTGTGTGTGCGTTCGTGGTTTATTAACACACAATGCTTTGAGTCATTACAATAAGAACAACAAATTTCTCGAATAGTACTTTAAAAGGAGCGAAAAATACCAAAGGGGCACTGAAAACAAAGCACAAAGTACTTAACCTTCCTGATGCAAAATCACATTTTTCTACACTAATATATATATATATGTTGCTGTATTTCAAAGTAGATGTCATACAGACATAAATACACAATCTTGTAAAACGCCGTGAACAAACTTGTACATAATGTTTATGCATAAGAGTAAAGAGCTATTTTATTCTTACTCCAAACTGTATGACAGCGCTTTTATACGACATCTGTTTTCCTCTTGTTGAACTTTACTTAATCCTGTAATTGCGAAATAAGATACATATCTAAATAAGGCGATCGGTAAAGTTTCATCTTTTGTAGGTTGTCATATTGTACAAACATTTGTCTGTTATTAAAGACACTATGTTGCCCTCTAGATGTCTTTGTTTTGTTGTGCCTTTGGGTTGGTGTGTATATCACACGTCTATTTTTTGTGGACTTGTATATTTTTCGGTTTTACCACACCGTTGTCATTTGTCTCGACTAGAGAGCTTTAATGCCCCCTTGGTATTTTCTGCCTCTTTATTTGGAATGGTGGCGTTTTATTCGAAGAATTGGAGACTTTTAAATTCGTTGGATAGATTTTCCAACAAATGTTGACTTTCCGATGGTCACCAATAGTGCACTCCTCTTTGTAAATGTAGTTGTAAACTCGTATGATTAAGAAATTTATCAAAGCATTATTACAAAAAGAAGAAAGGTTAAAAGAAGTTATGTCCTTTTAAATTAGTCATATTCAAATGAGCTAAAAATCAAAATCGGTACAAAAATAAAATATTTTGCTTTTAAACTTGACTTTAACCTAGCAAACGACACCAGTGAAAACGAAACTAATAATCGATTCTTCTCTTAACCAGCAATATCACCTGTGTAAGGTAAATATATGGAGCTGTTTCGCTTCTAACGAAATTATGTTAATTGCCTATAGACAATTGTGCTTTACATTTTAATTACCGAATTTCATCATTAATGAATTTAACTTATTACTAGCATTGGTCACTAAGAGAAACTATGGATGTCTCACGACTAGCAAGATGTTGTTATCCTTTCGATATCCTCGTATCTTATATCACTCTTTTTTACCCGTCTCGTTGCTTTTTTATTGGTCCCAATCGTCCACTGGCCTCTAGATTCCGATTTTCTGATTCCCCATTTCACATAGTTGGTTTG